CATCTCCAAAAATAACCAGAGGAAAATTTGCTGAAGGTGTGACTCTAGCAGTAGAGCATCTGCTTTGAAAGTGTGAAGCACTGAGTTCAAACCCCAGTCCCACTCCACCCCCTCAAAAAAAATACTTGATCAAAGGGAAACCCAAACTCCGGGCAGGCCCTACTTGTCTATCACTACACATCCTAAACAATCCCAGTGATCCTAGGGTTGTACACAGGGAGCCTCAGATGTAACATGATTCCCCATACATTTGATCTAGTTTTCATGCATGAGATGTGTGGACTTTTTTATTTGAGACAGTGTTACTGTTTTTCTCAGGCTGGCCTCAAACTCCTGACTGAGCTCAAAGGGATGCAGGTGCCTCAGTTTCCTGAGTAGCTGAGACCATAAGAACTTATCACGGCACCCGAATTACTCTATTCTGTGTTTGTGGGCTTGGTTTGATTCTTGGCTGGTTTGTTTGTTTGTTTTTTTAACTATTTTAATTTTTATTGGTGTACATTAATTATACAAAGGAGTTTTCTTTGTAATATTTCTGTATATGTTATACTTTGATGAAATTCACTCCATTACTCCTTCTTAACCTCCCTCACTCCTCCCCCTTTTAAATACCTTTAGTGGGTTTCATTATGCTATATTTATGAGCTTGACTTATCTTGCTCAACATGACGATCTCAGTTCCATCTGTTTTCCTGCAAATTACTTCATTTCATCTTTGTGGCTGAGTAATGCTCCATTGTGTATTTGTATCACATATTTATCATCTACTCATCAATTGTTGAGCACGAAGTTCTATTCCATAGCTTGACTATTGTGAATAGTGCTGCAATTAACATGGCTGTGCTGGTATCTCTTACGCTGATTTACTTTTCTTTGGATAAATTCCTAAGAGTAGTATGGCAGGATCATATGGTATTTCTGTTTTTAGTTTTCTGAGGAATGGCCATATTGATTTTTGTGGTGGTTGCATTAATTTACATCCCTTCAATAGTGTATAAAGGTTCCTTCTCCCCACCTCACAATCTGAGCAGCATTTGTTGTTGTTTTCTCGATGACAGCATTCTAGACGGACTGGGATGAGTCTCCGTGTTGTTTTGGCTTGCTTTCCCTCTCTGGCTAAAGATGTTGAACATTTCTTCATGTATTTATTTGACATTTGTACTGCTTTTGGGAAATGTCTGTTCATGTCATTTGTTCATATATTAATTGGATTATTTGATCTTTTGTTTTAATTTTAGTTCTTTCTATATTCTGGATATTAACAGTTTGTCTGATAAATTGCTTGAAAGATTTTCTCCCATTCTGTGGGTTGTCTTTCCTTCTGGAAATTGTTTCCTTTGCTCTGCAGAAGCTTTATAATTCGATGCAATCTCATCTGCCAATTCTTGCTGTTTTCCTGACATGTTGGAGGGAATCCTGTGTAGGAAGTTGTGGCCTATGTCCATCCATACCTTTGGGGGTTTCCTGTAGAAGTTTCAATGTCTCAGGAGTTAAGCTATTTGGATTGGGTTTTAGTACAGGATGAAAGATACGGGTCTAATTTCAGTCTTCTACCTGTGAATATCCAGTTTTTCCAACACCAGTTGTTAGAGAGCCTGTGTTTTCTTCAACACCTGTTCTTAGCTCCTTTATCAAAAGTACAGTGGCTGTAGCTGTAGGGGTATATTTCCATGTCTTCCATTCTGCTCCACTGGTCTACATGTCTGCTTTTGTGCCAGTACCATGCTGTTCTTAAATATGACACTGTAGTATAATTTGAAGTCAAGTACTTGATACCTCCAGAGTTGTTCTTTTTGCCCAGGATTTTCTTGCCTATTTGAGGTCTTTATGCTTTCATATGAATTTTAGGACTGTATTTTTCTGTTCCTGTGAACAATTGCCCTGGAGTTTTGATGGGAATTATATTGAATCTATAGATTGCTTTTGATAGTGTAGCCATTTTCACAATGTTAATTCTTCAAATCCATGAACATGGTAGACCTTTCCATCTTGTAGTATCTTCTTCAATTTGTCCAAGATTTTATGGTTTTTATTGTAGAGGTCTTTCACTGCCTTAGTTACAAATAAATATATATATATATATATATATTAAATATATACATATATGTACCTAGTTCATTCCTAGGTATTTTTGAGGCTACTGTGAGTGGAATTGTTTTCCTGATTTTTTTCTCAGCCAGTTCTTTATTGGTATATAGAAAAGTTATTGATTTTATATCTTGTTGCTTTGCCAAAAGTATTGATTAGATGTAAGTTTTTTGGTGGACTCTTCAGAGTCTTTTAAGTAGAGGATCATGTCTTCAAATTGGGATAATTTGACTTCTTTCCTATTTGTATCCTTTTTATTTATTTATCTTGCCTTATTGCTCTAGAGATTCAAAAATAATATTGAATAAGAGTGGAGACAGTGGATACCCTTGTCTTGTTCATGACTTTAGAGGGAATGCTTTTAGTTTTTCTCCATTTAGTACAATGTTGGCTATAGTTTTTGGTGGCACTGGAGTTTGAACTCAGGGCCTCCTGCTTGCTAGGCAGGTACTTTACCACATGAGCCACTCCACCAGTCCTGAGGTATGTTCTTTCTATTCCTAGTTTTAACTGGCTTTTCTTCCTTTATTCTATTTTTTTACCTTTATTCTATTTTTATTTGCTCATTTTTGTTTTTGTTTGAGACAGGGTCTCAACATGTAGCCTAGGCTGTTCTTGAATTCACAATCCTCCTAGCAGCTTCTCAAGTGCTAGGATTACAGCTGTTCACCACTTTGCCCACCTGTTCTGTTTTGTTTTATTTTTGAAATGCAGTCTCCCCACATAGCCCAATCTGACCTTGAACTCTCAATCCTCCTGCCTCAGCCTCCAAAACAGCTGGGATTATAAGCATATACCACTCTATCCCCCTCACCACCTAACTACCTTCTACTTAATATTCATTTCACTATTAGTTTTAAAAAAAACTTTTTGTTGTCTTTTTTTCACTATTACTTAGTTTTTGTTTTTTTATGTTTGTGTTGTACGACTGACAGTTAAACATTTGCATGTTTTGGGGATATAAGAACATATGTTTTGAAAGGTATAGGCACTGTAAAATGCTTCCCTCAATCAAGATGTTAATCTATCCACCAGCTACATAGTTACAGCTTTAGTGTTTCATTTTGTTATGTTAAGTCTCAATATGCACTCCCCAGGCCCAGAAGTTGCCATAGATCCCAGGCTGGCCTGAGATTACAGGAGTGAGCTAACATGCACAGATACTTTTTCGGTGAGAGCACAGCCTACTTGGAAATTTCAATTATATGTTGTTAACTAGAGTTACCATGCTCTACATTAGAGATCCAGAACTTTTTCATCTTACAACTGAATGTTTCCATCTTTTGGATAATACCCCCGATTTTCCCTACCCTCAACCCCTGGAAACCCAGTCGATTCCCTATTTCAATGAGCCTGACATGTTTACATTCAACATATATGTGCAGTATTTTTGTTTTTCTGCATCTGGTTTATGTCACATAAAACAGCAATCTCCAGTTTCATCCATATTGTTAGTGCAGGCTTCCATCTTTTAAAAGGCAATTACTTGAATGTCTTTATTAATTCATCTTGCATTATATATATGTATTATATATACATGCACTGGAGATTGGACCCAGTGTCTCACACACGCGAGGCAAGCCCTCTACCACTTGAGCTACATCCCATTCTTTTCATTTGTATTTTGTTTTTTGTTTTTTGTTTTTGAGCTAGGTCTTGAAATTCTCAATCCTCTTGCCCCTGCTTCCCAGGTAGGTGGGATTATAGGCATGTATCACCACACTTAGTTTGCTCCCATATCTTGGCTGTTGTGAAAAATGCTGCAATGAAAATGTAAGTGCAGGTATCTCTGACATTTCGTTTCTCTTGGATATCTATCCAGCGGGACAGTTGGATCATATGGTAGGACTATTTTTAGTTTTTGAGGAACCTTCAAACTGTACTCCATATTGGCAATACTGACTTATATATTCCCTTTTCTTCTTACCAATGCTGATAATAATTTTTTTTGGCAGTACTGGGGTTGGAATTCAAGGGTTAGCTCTCTACACTGGAGCCATGCCAGCAGCCCTACCACTGATCAACTTTCGGTACTAGCTGTCCTAAGAGGTCAGAGGTGATATTTCATTGTGAGTTTGATTTGCTTTTCTCTGATGATGAGTGATGTTGAGTGCTGTTTCCTGTATCCATTGGTCGTTCTTATGTCTTTTACTCCATATTCCTTCACAGATACAGCTCCCTCAAAAGAGCAGACACTCTCAAACACAAACATACTTACATTAGTTTTTCTTTTTTAACCATGTAATCACATCAGGACTTGGCGCCACCTCAGGAGTCTGCCAGCCAGAAGGTCAACACCAGTTGTGACCCTTGACCTTGCACCTCCAGAACTGCTGTGTATATGTGAGTGTGGGACAGGGATGACGAGACCTTCCAGCCTCAGGGCTCTATCAGAGGACACCAGAGGCACACCTTTAAGGTATTAAAAGTGAAAAACAGGAAATTGCATGCCCTCCAGGTGGGTGTACATCTCCTAGAAAGAGGACACAGTGAGTCCCTTCTTAGGGGATAAGCAGAAGACTTTTATCGTAATAAAATCAATTTATTATTACATAGGGTTTTAATATTAGCATCAATTGTACAAAGGAATTTTGTTGTGATATTTAAAACATATATATAATGTACTTTGATTAAATTCACTGTATTACTTTTTCTTAACCACTCTCCCTCCCCTCCCCTCCCTTTTAACAGTTTGGTGAATTTCACTGTATCATTTTCATAGGTATATATAACATACTTCTATAATATTCACCCCACTGGCACTTGCTCCCTTCTCCTCTTCCTACCCATTGGTCCCTCCTCCAGAATTACATAGGGTTTTATATAAAGCATTCTGGTTAATATATTTTGGGCTCAAAATGTATTTGTGTATTCTTTTCTTTAGGTTGCATGTGTTTTATTTTAAAGCAAGAATGACTCCTCTAAAGATGCGTGGTTTTGTCCAAGTTTGGAGCAAGAAGACTAAGAGGACTAAGCTGAAAGAGGCAGTCATTGAGACAGTAGAAGGAGAACATGAAACAAACCTGGTAGTTTACTTCAAGTCTGGAGAATTGACAAGGATTTTCCAGCTGAGTAATGTGGTCCTTAGATACTGTGAAGAGAGACAAAGTTGCCTGTGTTTAACTTTGCAAAACAATACTCCCTTGCTTATTAACAAATTATCCAGCATAGATGCTGAGCAATTGAAGATGTTTCTGGACATTTGTCATCGAAACAGATTTCAACAACCCAAGAAACCAGAGAGTTTTATTCTGTGTTTTCCTGAATCCATGGATGCACAGAAGGCAACTAACAAAACTCTGTCTTACAAGCCAATGTATGGGTCCTTTAATGCCAGAAAAAGAAGTGGATCAGCTTTCCCTCAGACGATGCTTCTGTTCACATCAAATTCATTGGTTTTTGTTAGAAAGTGGTTAATAGAAAATCTAAGTGAAAAGAGGAAAACGATGTCATGTGGGCTAGAGACTGTTTTCTTTCCAGAAAACAGTCTTTCACTACACAGTGAACTCCAGACATATTCCTTGTCGTATGTAAGAAGCAAAAGAAAGAAATCTTTCAGCTTGGCATCTCTAGAAAATAACAGAAAAGTAAAACTTGAACCTTCATTCAAGACCAACTTTAATGAAAATTGTAACCTGGGCAAGACTGTTCTTCCAACCCAGTCTCCCTTTGGCAAAAGAAATTTTGTATTTACATTGGAATCAAAGCATAGCCAGGACAACCCAAGCTGGAATAAAACCCAGGATCCCTTTGACTGTGACTCAGAGGAACCAAAGGAGGGCTTCCCCAATTTGGGAAATACCTGTTACATGAATGCAATTTTACAATCACTATTTGCAATTCCATCATTTGCTGATGACTTACTCAAGCAAGGGATCTCATGGGATAAATTTCCCTTTGAAACTCTTATTATTCCCTTCAGCCAGTTGCTTGCTTTAAAAGATATTTGTAAGTTAGAGACCAAGGCAGAGTTACTTCTTAGTATTAAAAATGCTGTTTCAGTAGTGGCAGAGATATTCTCTGGCAACATGCAGAATGATGCTCACGAATTTTTAGGTCAGTGTTTAGAGCAGTTGAAAGGGGACATTGAAAAATTGAACAACCTTTGTAGTACTGAGAGGGAACCTGAGAATGGAGATTTATCACCACAAATGTTTGCTGGTGACACTGTCACCAAATTGTTTGTTTGTCCTATTGTTGCTAATTTTGAGTACGAATTACAGGTTTCCATTATTTGTAAAGCCTGTGGTCAGGTGGCTCTCAAGACAGAACAGAATAATTACATCTCCATAAATCTACACCAAGAAAAAAACCCATTTTTTCCATCTATTCAAAATTACTTTGATCTTTTCTTTAAAGAAGAAGAAGTCAAGTATAACTGTGAGAAGTGCAAGAACCAGAATTCTATATTGAAGAATAAGTTTCATCAGCTCCCCAGAGTCCTTATTGTTCATCTGAAACGCTACAGCTTAAATGATCATTGGTTGCTAGTGAAGAATGGCCGGCAAGTTGAGATTCCTAAGTATTTAAGTTTATCTTCCCATTGCAATGAAAACACTAGACCACCGTGCCCCTTGGACAGTCATGTGCCTGTTGGAGACCGCAAAGTCTCCCAAGAGATGGTTTCTGAGATCCTCAGCAACTCAGCACAAGCTCTGAAGTTGACCTCAGAACCTAATGATCCCTTGGATCTATGCATGGGACCAGATGAGGATGCTGAACTCCAAACAGTCCAGAGAATCTACGAAGGAGCAAGCCAAGAGCAGGAACAGACAGTTCTGGGAAGTGCTTCTAAACTGGAGCCAGAACTAGTTAAGTCAAGAAATCAGACACTCAGTGAAAAGAAGCTACCAGCCTCCAAGTCAATGACAGATGAGGGGGACATCTCTCTTCCTATGATTTGTGAAGATGAAGGTAAGCCAGTCAGCATCCCAGACCCAGGTTTTTCAGGAGCTCATCTTCAAGAGGTGCCTGAAATTCCAGACCTCAAAAACTATAAACAAACCAATATACTTGGAGAGTTAGACTATTACAGTGTTACTGGGTTGTTAAAAGGTTTGTATGGCTATTGTGAAAACAAGAATCCAGAAGGTCAAGGAATGGCCAAACAGCATCAACAGCATCATGAGAAGAGATTCAAAGAGGAATTTCTTCAACTGACACCACCTCCAAGTGTTAGGAAGTTGGATATTCAGGAAAATACGGACAAGGACCTATGTAGATCTTCAGAATTAAGACTCCAGAAGGACGATCTAACTTCCCTTGGTGCATTGGGGTCTGATAAGAATCCTGAAAACAAATACATTTCAGAAAGTGAAAACATAGCAGATGAGGCCAAGAAACCCAAAACTGTGAAGACAGGAGATCCTCTTCGGACTTATAGGCTCATCAGTATTGTCAGCCATATTGGGAGCTCCCACAAGTCAGGTCACTACATCAGTGACGTCTATGACTTTGGAAAGCAGGCGTGGTTCACATACAATGATCTAAAGGTATCAGAAATCCCAGAGGCCAGGATACAGGAGGCAAGGCTGTGTAGTGGTACATCTTTTTTTACATGCATAGTGAAATTTTTGAGACATTGTTGGAAAAGGCAGCAAATTCTAAGCTTCTGAGTACACAGGCAGGGGAGATCCCTCAAGAGGCATATGAAGAAGAGGACTTTTTTCACAGATTGCTTGATTACCTCACTCCCTCTATAGAAGGAATATCTGAGCACTGCCCAGAATGAACAAACAAGTAGCTCAATATGAAAGCTTGATGAACTGGCAATACAGCAGAAGCAGGGACAGATTAGAAATACAAATTTTTAGCTGGGTGCAGTGCCTCATGCTTGTCATCCTAGGTCCTAGGTACTAGGCTGGGCGTGGGCATGACGATATGTGCCTGTCACTCCAGCTAGGCAGGAAGCATAAATAGGGGGATCATGGTCCAGGCCAGCATGGGAATAAATGTGAGACCACATTGAAAAATATCTAACAAATGGGCTGGGGGAGTGACTCAAGTAGTAGAGTGCCTGCCTGGCAAGTGCAAGGCCCTGAGTTCAAACCCCAGTACTACAAAAACGGAAAGGAAGGAAGGAAGGAAGGAAAGAAAGAAAGAAAAGAAAGAGGTTCAATTTTGGAATAACTGATTCATATACTGGAAGTGTGACCCACTTCATATGTGGGATATCTATTTTTTTTATCATCTTTACATTTACTAGCATGTATATATTGTTTGGACCACCTCCCCCCTCACCCCACTGGGTTCCAATGGGATATCTAGATTTAGTTTGCTAATGTGTGTATGAATTGTATATGTTAAAAAGGAATGAAATTCCTGTATGTCGTTCTTTTGTAAACTTATTCAAACAAAAACCCCACGAATACATGTACAATTGGCTGGACTCTACAGTATTTGTGATTCATTATTGGTAAAATTTTCTAGGAAGCAAACTATATTTGCATTTCCTTCCAAGGATGGCAGGGCATAATATCAGGGTTACATAGGAAGTGCAGTGTATTAAATGACACGATGGTGGTTTTTCAAGTTCAAAAATAAAATGCTTATTGTTATTAATATAAAAGTATTCTAAATCCATCTTCAAAAATGTACAATGTTGCCAGGCTCTGGTGGCTCACACCTGCAATCCTAGCTGCTTGGGAGACAGAGGTTAGGAGGAGAGTGGTTTAAAACCAACCCCAGGGAGCAAATAGTTCACAAGACCCTACCTCAAAAATTCCAAACAAAAAAAAATACTGATGGAGTGGCTCAAGTGGTAGAGTGCCTGTCTAGCAAGCATGAGGCCCTGAATTCAAACTCCAGTACCACCAAAAAATGTGATCAGCCTGAAAATCCCTATAATCCAGGTGTGGTGGCTCACACCTACAATCCCAGCACTCAGGAGACCAAGGCAGAAGACATTGTGAGTTCAAGACCGACCGAGCAATATTAGTGAGACCCTGTCTCAAAAAAACAAAAAAAAAACTATAAAATACTCAGTATCAATAGGCATCTTAAGTACTTGTACAAAAGTTGAGAGGGTTTTGTGGGAACCATGAAGTAAGAAAAGCCTGGTGATATATAATATGGGAAAGAGAAAATCAAATCAGAAACATGCACAAGATTGTTTTATAGCATTGGTTTTAGCACTTAAAAGGGGAAAAGGGCATTTTTTAAGGCTGGGGAGGTAGCTCAGTGGTAGAGTACTTTCCTAGCATGTGCAAAACCCTGGTTTGATCTCCAGCAGAGAGACAGGGAGAGAAGTGGGGGAGAGAGAGAGATATCCATATTCCACTCTTCATATTTAGGTGGTATTTTTCTCCTAGTAAAACACAATGTGAGCTGAGTGTGATGGTGCACACCTGTGATCCCAGCACTTGGAAGGTTGAGGCAGGAAGTTTGGAACTGTGAGGCCACTTTGAGCTACATAGCAAACCCTGACTCAAAAATCAAGGGCTGGGGTTGTAGTTCAGTGGTAGAGAAATTGCTAAGCTTGCACAAGGCCCAGCCTCATTTTAATTTCCAGCAGCTGATAGGACATTTGTTCATATTGTAGCAAGAAAGGGGAGGCCAGAAAAGAAACATACAGGCTGGTGTTCTGACAAGTCAAGGGGAGGGTATGGCAAAGCAGAGAGATAAAAAGAATTGAAACATGAAGGTCACATAGCACTAAGGAAAATGAAAGAGCCAATGAAGTCACATGCAGCCATATGTGGGTTGAGCTTTGCTTTTTGCTTCTGTAACCTGCTTGCAAGGGTATATAAGGTGAGACCCCTTTGTT